GTTCACCATTCCCGTGAAAGTATTGCTAAAAGTGAAAGTATTGTTGGAAGATTCAAAGGATTAGGCATTATTTATTAATTGAATAAAAATTAAAAAGCATCGGTTTTTCATTGCAGTTTGTGAGGGGATGCATTAATGTAAATTCGCATAATATTTTTATTTATTTATTTTTGTTTTTTAGATTTAATAACTTTTATTTATTTATTCATTGATTTTTTAAAAAAAAATTACTATTGCGTTAATAATTTGCTTTTTATATGATTATTGCAGTCTAAAAAAATATCTTCTTGATACTTGATTTAAAAAAAAATTAGAGAAATTCAATTTTATTATTTACCAAAGATTGCAAATAAAGAAATCATTTTAAAAAACATGGTTCCATTTTTTTTTTCATTATTTTTTTTAGTTTTATCTTTAAATATTATGTTAATTTGAGATTTGGTATTGATAACATGCTTTAATTTACGTTTTACATTGTTATTTTAGTAAAAAAAAAAATCTTGATATTAGATTGAATTTTATTATAAAAAAAATCAAATTTATTATGAAAATATTCCATGTGCTAAGAGAAATGACATTAAATTTTTTTTGAGCTTTCAATTTGAAAAGAATAAAAAACAAAGAGATCAAGATTGAGAGAGATGTTTTTTTATTTATTTTTTTAACTAATTTTGGAGTTTTTTAAGAGGAGAAATTAATTTTTTTACGTTATAAGAATTTTTTTCTTATATGAAAATAGATTATAAATTGAGTTTTTAAGTAAAACAAATCCACCGCCTTGATCTTTTCAATAATTTTAATTAGATTTTTAAATGATTTGATTGAAAATTATATTTATTAATAATATTTAATTATTCATATTTTAAAATAGATGTAAATTTATAGAGGCCATTACACTTGGGCTTTTATCATATGGCCCAAGTAAGTTGGGGTACTTAGAAAAATCTTCATGTTTGGTTGTTATATATATATATATATATATATATATGTATATATATATATGTATG